TTTGAATCCGTCACCTACCCTAGCAAATCTCATGAGACGAAGCCACATCTAGCCATCAGAGCCCTCTACTTAGCCAAACTAACAAGAACTAAAAATCAGCAGGGGAAAGAATCAAATACCCTCAATCAGAATCAGCAGAAAATCTAATCTGATTCGGAGGCCATGCTAACCTAGAGCCACGAGACAAAACTGGGAGCTTCCTCCACGATAGAAGAAATCATATCTGGTTAAGAGGGGAAAGGAAATCGGACCAAAGGATGAGGTACTGCCTCTGCTCCAACACTGACAAGAGCCAGCAACACGAAACCCGACAACCTCATAGTCAAAACACCAAACCCACTCCAAGAACTACCGATCTCGAAGAAGAGAAACATCATCAGCCTCCCAATACAACTACAAAGACAGAAAAGAGATACACAAACGAAACAAGGGACACGACCAGCGGCAACACTAACAAAGCCATCCACCACTGGTCAGATCTGATCTTATCAAAGAAAAAAGTTGATGGCGGCGATTTTTTGGAGAGAGAGGAGAAGGGTTTTTTTTTTTTTGAAAATTTGTTTCATCCAGTTAATATATTATTGAAGTCAAATGCAACAAACTATATTTATCTATGAGCCATTCATCTTCAAGCCCTAGAGAGTTTTCTCTCTAGCTTGATACCTAAGGAGCCATTCATCTTCAAGCTCCAATTTATCATGGATACATTGGCCTCCTCCGCCGGAATTTTCTTCTGAGAAGCCATGCTTCTCATTCTCGAGACCCCTCCTGGGTTTACCATCTCACCAATGGATGAAGATATTGTGCAATCTCAAAGACCTCGACTCCTGTCTGGCTCCCTCACTCCATCGGCTGGACCTCTCTCTCTCAACGTCATAGCCTCCATTCACAGTGTGATGGTGAAGAGTCCAGCATCGATCTCCCCTCGTCCGGAGCCACCAGATCTGATTCTTCCGAAACCACAGGAGCTTTCACCAGTGCCAGAGCCACCCGACCCTCCACCGGCTCCGACTTCGTAGACTGCAAGACATGCTATCTCGCCGAGATCTTTTGTTGCCTCTCCCGTCGCAATGGATCTTCCCTTCCCCGATCAAGATTTTTGCTCCGGCATGGGACTCGATCCTACATCTCAGTCACTGGTTTCAACCTCTACACCACCGACTGCGAAATCGTCTCCTTCTCCGACTTCCTCCCTTTCCATTTCGGCAATATCTGTATCACCGTCGATGGATTCATCACCATTCACCAACCTAGCCATCATTGCCTGGTATTTCAAAATTATGGGTTTGGCCCATTATTTCTCTTATGTTGCAACAATACCCTTTTCAAGCCAAAACCCATTTTATTCAATGCCCATAGTTAATGCTTTTACCCGTCACTCTGTTGCCGAGAATGCATTGGCTTCTTCTGGTTTGGGATTTCGTAAGCACGTACGAATTTCATCGCTTAGTCCGTGGACGGCCATGGGTCAAAAATGTGTTATGAATACTGGGCTAAGAAGATCAAAGTATTCTGGATTCTCAAATCTTGTACCATCTGAGCCCGATATCTTCTATGTTGAGAGAAGATCAAAGTTTTATGGATTCTCAAATCATGTACCTTCCTCCTTATGAGAAAGAAATTGTCCACCTCTTCTTCTTTCATTGAGAATAAACTCTTCTCGGAACCAAAATCGAGCAATTCCC